TTCATTCATTTTCCTCCTTATACTTTGAAATCATTCAAAGACCTCCCTCCCAAAACATACTACTGCCCTCCCTCTACTTTCAATTTTCATACTAGTTAGCTCTCTCACCTAATGCCATTACTAACACCATTACTAACACCAACACGTTACTTACTATTTGCCATCAAACCTCACCCATTCATTATTATTATTATTATTTTTATTTTTATGAATTTCACTTGTAGGCCTCATAAGTTTCATATCATCCACCATGTCACCAACCTAGATATGCCCTCAAACTTATGAAAATAATACATATACAATTTATTTTTACCAGTGTAGAAGTTATGCCTTTAAAATTATTTACCAAAAGATTAATTTGAAGGTGTACAACAATTGATTTTGAAATATCCTAATTATATAAAAAAAGAAAATAAAGAAAAATAATTCTTGAAATAGACTATTATATATTGATCAATGGATTTATTTTTTAATTGCATTAATCAAATTTATTTTTTTTATAGATAATACAATAAGAGAAATCATAAAAAATCCATTAATTTATACGTTATAATAATTGTATAGAATTAAACAAGTAGAGTTGGGCATTCAATTTGGATTCTCCAAATTGAACTGAATTTTTGTTATCCTTATTTTGGATAAGACTTTTATACTCAATTCGAATCAAATTTTTAATTCGGTTATAATTTTGGTTTTCAAAATTATTCAAATAATTTAGTTAATTAACCAAAATAACTTAAATAAATCATTATTCTTTACTTTTTGTCATTAAAAGCTTTTTTTTTTTAATTTTGATTATTTCTAGTCTTTTTGCTCATATTCCTATGTATAAATTTGACTAAAAAAAGATTTTTGTCCAAAAAAAATTCACATAGCACAAAAACTAAAATAAAAAATAAAATAAATTCATACTAAAAAATTTTAGATAATTTCAAATAATTTGATGTTATATTGATTTATTACTACATGTTTCTTTTTGCTAACATTGGATCTAAATATTCTGATATGTCTTAAACAAAATAATTGCACGCAAGTCAATCAATAATGTCAAAGTAATAAATGCTAAGAAAATTTTGGATAACAACAAGATAGATGGCCCGTGTGAGATATCATTTGACAAGCTACCAAAAAGGGTTATCACTATGCATGTTGTGGTCTAGCCAATTTTAACAAAAGCAAAAAGAGGTATTCTTATACTAATTACTCTAAAATGCCCATGATTTTTGTGATTGACTAATATTTTAGAGGCAAAATGCTTAAATTCACCCCCAAAGTTAAGCAATAAAAGCAAATCTACACCCAAATAAAACATGGAGATGAATTCACCAACAAAATTTTTGACTTAAACAAATAATCTATTATTTGACATGCCACATCATGTGATGTCATCATTTCGCTAACTGCCCATTAAGTCTAACTTTTTAAACACCTTGGAATCTTTTTTTTTAACACCTGGATGCTTAGGTGACCATTTTTATTAAGTTGGATGACTACATGGCACTTGCTTCATTTTTTTTTTATCTCCATCCATCTCAATCTTACTTTAAATGTCAAAATTACATCCTCTTGTGTAATTACAAATATACCCTTTTCTTCTTCCTTTCCCTAATTTTCCTTTTCCCTTTCTAACAACAGTAGATTAGAGGCCAGCAATGACGAGAGCTTCTCTCTCCTTTCTCCCCTTTTTCCTTTTCCATCATGTGAGGTTGGGGCAAAACAGAACCAAGATTATAAGCCAAGAGAGATAATCACTCCTCTTGACAAACTTGAAGTGCCATAAAACAAAGAAAACCGAGATTTATGTTCCTCTGTCACAAGAGCTTGAAAGAGTTGCAAATTTTGCATATTTGTTGTGTGATTTTAGATATAATAATAGTGTTGAGATTGACTGATGAGAATTGAAATTGAATTTTGGTTATAATAGAGGAAACCCAGATCTAGGTTTGTTGTTTTCAAAAGATTTTGTAGAACCCACCATAATAGATCTAGTTCAAGATGCTTAGCTGGGTATAATGGTGGGTTTGTTGCAATTTTTTGCAATATCTTTGAAGACAACAAACCGTCCATAACAGATCTAGTTCTAGATGCTTGGCTGGGCATGATGGAGGAGTATTTGAGGTCAACGATGCATAATTTCCAAGTATACCAGTCGAGAAAGCTTGAATTTAAAAGGAAACTCACCAAAACACAATGGACTAGATTCTCCATATATGAATCGATTGATTTTGGGTGGGGAAAGCTAGTTTATGCTAGACCAATAGACCTGAACTCAATGCCATAATTGTGTATATTCTTGTCAAAATGAGGGGTGGAGCCAAGTGGGGTGATTGTGGTGCATATCTGCTTGCCTCACTCTGCCACTAATGAAGTGATGGAGTCTTGTGTTTGAAAAATTCATTCCAAGAGCAAGTATGGAAGTTATAGCATTTTTCTAAAATCAACCACAATGGTTAGGAATGGAAAAGCACTAAAAAGGAAGAAGATCTAGGCTATAGAACTAAAATGCGGTGCATATTGCAGCAACAAAGATGAACAGTCCATAGAGGGAGCCGTAGCATATTGCAAGGATGTCTTCAAGATGCCTCATTGCAGAAGATGAACAATCCATTTCCTTTAACTGTCTTTTTTTTTTTTTCCTTTAATTTGTTTTTCAAGAGTTAATCCATTAGTATGCAATAATAAGTGTTACTTATCACTCATTTAAGTTTCTAAATGGTCCCTCATCATTTTAGTTAATTAAATTTTAATACATAATTCATAAATTAAAAACAAAATGAAATCAAAATAGTAGGTCCCACTAATAAATTGGTATGGAGGGTAAAATGAAAAAGAAAGAATGTTTCAACTTTCAAGAGGTATTTATGATATTTAAAGTGGAGCCCAAATGCAAAGAAGGGCAAAATGCCACGTTGTAAAAAAAAGGTTAGAATTGGACTACAATAGTGTCCAACTCAACAAAAATGGCCACCTAAGCGGACAGGGTGTTTAAAAAGTTAGACTTAACAGGTAGTGAACGAAATAATGATGTCACACGATGTGGTACATCAAATAATGAGTTATTTGTCCAAGTCAAAAATTTTATGGGTGAATTCATCCCCATTTTTTGTTTGGGGGTAGATTTGGGTATTTTGCCTATTCTAGAGTTTTATTGTGATAAATCTTAAGTTAAGTTATTTTATTATCTTAGTAAAAAAAGAAAGTGGATGAACCCCAAGAAAAACTTGTGTTTGTGTTTGATATTGTAGGTGTTTTTGATCATTTGGTAAATGATCTTAATTATAATTAAGATTAATTATAATTAATATTTTTACACCTTCAAATTAATTCTTTGGTAGACAATCTTAGAGGTAGAAATTTCACATTGATAGAAATAAATTGTGTATATATTATTTTCATAAGTTTGAGGGCATTAGGTTGGTGACATGGTGGGTGATATGGTGAGTGACATGGAATTTCTGGGCTTACAATTGAAATTCATCAAAAAAAAAAAATATTAATGAATGGGTGAGGTTTAACGTCAAATAGTTAGTAATGATGTTGGTGTTAGTAACAGCATTGAGTAAGGGAGGTAATTGGTATGAAAGGCAAAATATTCAAATCCACCCGCAAAATATTATGGTAAAGATGGATCCACCCCCAAATAAAAAGCGAGAACAAATTCACCCACAAAGTTTTTAATTTCGACAAATCACATCAAATTTAATATGTAACGTCATCTGACATTAACAATCCATTAATTTGTTATGTTGCTAATAAATTCATTATTAACGGATTGCTGACATTATCTAATGTCACACGTTAAATTTGGATGATTTATTTAAGTCAAAAACTTTGTGGGTAGATTTGTCCTTTTTTTTTGTTCGGAAGCGGATCCATCCCTATCACTATACTTTGGAGGTAGATTTGGGTATTTTGCCAATTGAAAGTAGAGGGAGGACAGTAATATGTTTTGGGAGAGGAAAGGGAGGTTTTTGAACGATTTCAAAGTACAAGGAGGACAATAAACAAAAAAGGAAAGTAGAGGGACTATAGCTGACTTTAACCCATTTTGTTGTCTCAATTGTGGGAGCATAGGTGGGGACTAACACTTTTGTTCATGTTATTTTAAAGGTTTGATTAGGAGATAAGTTCGAAGTGACGAAGATCTGAATGTTTATTTCTAATTTTTTTGGTGGGATGTTTATTTCTAATTTTAGCGTCCATTTGGTTCCGAGAACTACTTCTGAAAAATATTTTATGAAATTTTTTTCAAAGAATATTTTCTGATCCTTCGAACACCATGAAATTTTTTTTTAAAAAATCTATTTTTCATTGTTTGGTAAGTTAAGAAAAAATTTTAAAATATTTAAAATATTAATTAATTAAAAATTAAAGTTAAAACAGAAAAAAAAAATAAATAAATAAACGCATTAGACCTGACTCGGCAAAACTCGTGGGAGTGGGGTTATTCCATCCGTCGCCTTCTCCCTTTTACAATTTCGAACCGGTCGCATCCATCCTCCGGGAGCGCGGCCAGACTTGGCGTTGAGTCTGTCATCCTTGGCCCACTCCCAAGTGTACTCAGCATCTCCTCCTCTCCATTTCTAATTACCGAAGGGTTAAAGGCCAGCTATAATAACTCTACTTCCCTTTTTCGTTTATTGTCCTGTACTTTGAAATCGTTCAAAGACCAAACAGCAAAAAGACCTTAGATTTGTGTACAATCAGGGACAGAATCTATTGTGTTACTAACCCATTTGGTTTCTTCTTCCATTTCAATTTTCTTTCCTTTTCTCTGTGTCCCTGATTATGAGGCCCCACGCCACCACCCCTAACGACAGTTCCTCAATCTTCCCTAGTTAAATAAATGATACCCACTTCACGTTTCCAATTGTGTTATTTTAATGTAAAAGTGTTGTTCGTCTGGAATTAAATATAGCCCAAAGACCATAACCCTCCTTTCCCCACAAAACAAATAATGAGTTTGATCAAGGTCAAGGTTGAACATATTTGGGAGATTCACTCATTTAAGAATTTTAATTTTTCCAGCCAATCAAACAGGTGAGAACTATCAAAAGATTTGAAAATTCAAAATTCACATATTTCACTCATCCTATAGCAGAGGCAAGAAAGAATAAGAATTCCATTAAAATATATCACTAAACAGTCATGTCAAAGAATGAAGTACCTTAGGCGGTTTAAATGAAAAGCCTGGAGGAAAATGAATTGTGACTAGAAACACTCCACCCGCATATGGACTATCAGGCGGACCCCTAATTGTTGCTTGCCAATGAAACATGTCTTCAGCCACAGGGCCTTAAATAAAAGATAAAAAGATAACAGTTAGAACCGCAAACAAGTAATGCATAAATTACAGAGGCATCCTCAAAATCTTGGGCACATTTAACTTTTAAAGTTTATTAGTTGAGTCTGTAAACTCTTTAAATCATTTTAACCGTTGTAGAGGGAAGACCAGATTCAGAAATAGACATATAAAATTCTAGATAGCACAAGATCAATTGGACAGTGCTTGCGCAACATCCAATAAAATTGGAAATACAACTTCTTCTTCTACTAAAAAAAATAAAATAAAATAAAAATCAAAATCCCGGAGTTAATTAGCTCCTAACTTTCTAAAATAGCTGACTTAGCTCACAATCACCATAAGAAACCTCAAAAAGAAACGAAAATTGAGAAGAAACATCGTTTTCCATTGACACTCAGCCATTGATTGAAAAGAAGGAACCAAAAGCTCACCGTGCTTAAAACTTAGCACTCCTCCAATACATCACCATCGACATTAAAGTAATCAAAAACTCGTTATGAATGAAATTAAAGACTATTTTCTCATGAAATTCAAACAGAACAAATCGCCACGAGTAATACTTGAAAGAGAACCAAAAAAATCAATGAATTCAGCAGGCGGAAACTCAAAATCGAACATAAAAGAGAGATTGAAATTGAATTGAACCTGCACTGCAAGAGGTTGGAGGATCTTTCTGGAGATCCTTGAGCTTCTTCAAAATCCGCTTCGATGCCATGACCTAAATCCTAAGACAACGCACCAAATCGTAGATCGCCATAGGTAGTTAGCTTAAACGAAATCGAACAAAAACACAAAGTTAATTGTAGAATTAGGGAGGAAGAGAGAGGTACCTGAGAAATCCTATAATCTTCTGTTTTTTCTTTTTTGTCTTTGCTCTTTGGAGAAGGGAGGAAAGAATTGGCCACAAGCCAGAAACACAATTATATCTAAAACATTTATGCAGTAGAGTAATTTTGATTGGTTCTGCATGGAACCCACGCACTGATAATTTCTCAAAATAAAAAATCAAAGACTCGGTTTTTACCAGTTGACCCAGTCTTTTTTTTCTGATGCTCCTCCCGTAAGAAAATTTAACATAGTAAATAAATATAAATAAATTTTATGTTTTATAATTTAAATTGTATATTGAAAGTATAGTTTTATTTAAAAAATTAATTAAAATATTTTAATTAAAATTTTATTTTATTAAGGGTATTTTAAAAAATTTAT